GCTCCCGCCGCTCCCGCCGCCGCCGCCGCTGCAACGGCCGCCGCCGCCTCCACCTCCTTCTGCCCCAGAGGCCGCTTCGCAGGGAAAGTTACATAACGCGCGGGCAAAGCCTTCTGGGAAACGTAGTCCCGCCGCGGCGGGCTCTTAAAGGGGACGGCGGGCGGCAGCCGGGGTGGCCGCATCGCCGCGGCGCATCTCCGAGCGGTCCTCGCCAGCCGCGAGCCGCCAGGGGCGCGGGCACAAGGGGCGGGGCGGGGCGGGGCGGGGCGGGGACACGAGTGGGCAGCACTACCTCGGAGTCAGAAGTTGACGCGCTGGACACGCTCCCGGCGTCCAGTTGCCGCGCCGAGTCGCTGTGCAGCTCCAGGCCAGCGTCTCGGCCTCTCTGAGGCTCACTCTCCGCCCAGGAAAGGTGAGCCAATGGTCGGCTAGGAAGGCTGCAGCTCCTGGGGCGGGGCGCAGGGGCCCTTATTGGAGGGCTCCAGGAGGGGAAGCCGTCAACTCAGTAGCGGCGCGGCTTGGCCACTTGGCACTTCTCCCCCAGAATCTTGGCCATCAGCCTCCGACGGGGGCCGGCAGTAGCCAGAGGAAGGAGAGGACTGAGGCCGCCCGACCATGCCGCTGCCCGTTACCGGATCTGCTGAGGGTAGGCGGTGGTGCGCGCCTCCAGCACCTCCAGTGTGCGCTGGTGTCTAAAGGGTTACAGTAGTGGTCGCTGCCCTCCCCCCAACTGCACTACACTTCCCAAAATGCACTCTGGGGCGAACAGTGTGACGCACTTCCGCTGTCTGGGAGGTGGGGGAAGGTCTCCCGGATGCGCACTGTCCTCCCCTCGAAAGAACTTCTGTGGGTCTATGGGGTTCTGAATGTTTTTGGTTTTTTTTTTTAGCACGTTGTGTGGGGGGATCCTCACCCTCTATTGCACCCCATGGGGGGACAGGAAAGACGGTCAGAGATGGCGAATACGGCAGGGGGTGGACTAGCGAGAACTTGCAGCCGACCACCTTTCTTCAACCTTGAGTGCTGCCCCTAGGTCCAACGCCGCTTGGTAGGGTCCCCATGGTAGGGTCTCCCAGGCGTGAGAGGAACAGCGTAAGGCGGGTCACCACATCGGCCTTTTCCTCTCTCTATAGACATGGATACAGCTCAACAATATTTGAATGACTTGCCAGAGCTTTCTTAAGTGGTTTCCGAACTAATCAGCGGCTGTTCTTCCCTCCCCACCCCCAAACCCTTGCAAACATTTAGCTCTGATTGGGTAATAAACTTCAGCCTCTGCTTCATTTTACTTCCCAACTCATTACTCCTTAACATTTTGCAATTGGCTATGGTCACTCCTGGCCGTTATCAACTGCACAAACATGGGCTTTATATACTACACACATTAAAAAGTATTTTTAAACTACGCGTGGGACCATTAACAAAGCCATCCACGGGCCATCTAAAACTGCCTTTGTGCCACTTCTTAAACACAGCCCAGGGCTGGCCAGAGGTGGCCTGCAGGTGGACTGGGTTGGTCCTGACCAATTTTTGGCATATCCCCCAACTTCTTAGGGGAAAAAAATGGGAGACCCTGAGAGTCTGCTTTTAAGTGCAAACATGCACAGACATGCTCAGCGCTGGAAGCTTAGTCAGTGACTCGTTTTTTAAGCCCCAGTGAATACAAATGTTCCATCCCTCCTCTGTGGGAGGGAGGGGGGGGGACACTGAGGACAGGTTCCATCCCTCCTCTGTGGAAGGGAGGGGGGTAGTGGGAGGGGCAAGGGAGGACACTGAGGAGACCTCACTGGCTTTGAGGCAGATGGGGCCGTGTCCTCGCGCAGCCTAATGAGGGGACCTGAGGTTTACCTTAAATTGATGTGAATGGTGACACAACTGTACTGTTCACAATTACTAGGGAGAGAATGTCGGGGTGGCATTCTGCAGATGCATGTGAACTGTGACCTGACACAGGAATACAAGCTGGCTGGAGGAGGTAAGGGCACCTCAATCTCTCTGCCGGCCTTCCAGATGAGGACGATGACGGTCCAGTTAGAACCAAGGCCGCCTCCAGGGAAACCCCTGGCCGAGCTGGGTCCAAGTTCAAGCAGGTGGTTATTACCTAGTTTGTTAGCAGATGGTGCAGCAGGTTTGAGAACAGTGAACCAACTCTTGCCTTCAGAAAACGATGGGGGCAACAGGCCGTGCACAGATAAAGGCGCTTGTTCCTTCAGGGACACTGAAGCAGCAGACCCCTACTAGTGGGGGAGGGAACCCAGCATATTCGGAGGGGCACCGGGCTGGTGCCCCAAAGCTGTCACTGGGAAGGAGGCTTGACCACGGGACTGATGGCTTCAGCAATCAAAAACCAAGGCCAGAAATCGCCCACCTGCCACTATGAAGGGGGTGTCACCTGCCCATGGAGGGACAAGTGGCTCTCAGTGCGGCCCCCAGGCCCGTCTCAGACAGAGCCCCATGTAATTGTAGTAAAAATAAGTTTATTGTCATCTTGTCACCACTGGGGAGCAGGGAGGGGCTGAGCTCTGGAGGTTGGAGACCACAGGGGAGGCAGAGGGCCCACCCAATCGCCCCCCCAGTAGGAACTCCACCCCCGCTCCCTAGGGCACAACTGCTGTATCCTCTGTGTCCTCCAAGTTCTGATTTGTCTTGCAATCCCACCCACTCCACAGTATGGACGGAGGAGGGGTGGGAAGGGCCCCAGGTCAGTTCTCTTCAAGTCAAGACCAGGAATTGTGAGGGGCGGGGGATGTGCAGACCCGAGAGGTTCCCTCCGCACCCACAAAGGGCGGTAATAAATAATGTAAAATCCATGGCTTAGAAGTCAAGGTTAAGGGAAGCAGCCAGGCAGACAGCGCTGTACTGGAGAGAGGGCTGGGGGCCCGTGAAGGGGCTCCCCAAGAATCAGGCACTAACTAGTACAGGGGCCGGGGTGCTTGCGCCCCTGCAGCAGGGAGCCAGGGTGCGGCTGGGCTGGGGAGGCACGAGCCCTCCTCCACTGGGCTAAGCTGGGGGGCGGCACAAGCAGGGTGCAGACAGGCTCAACCCCAAAGGCAGACTTCATGGGGTTTTCCACCGCCCCCGCCTCTTCCTTGTGGGGAAACCTTTCCTCCTCTTGTGTGGAGGGGAGTCAGGGGGAGGCGGTGGGGCTGGGGGTGCCCGGGGAACCCCTTCTTCACTCCTGGGGGCGATGATCACCCCCCTGGCTGCCACCCCAGCCCTGTCCACAACAGCAGCCACCACGGACACAGGCTCAGGGGTGGCCTCCACCTTGGGGGCGGGTGGTGGCACCACAACAGGTCTGGGGGGCGGGGGCGGAGGTGGGGGCAGCGGGTCGACCTGGGTTCCAGGCAGGAGGGGCAGCAGGGCGCTGAGGGCCTCGCTCAGCTTGGCCAGTCCCTGCCGAAGGGTGCCGGCCAGCTCCCGGATGGCGCTGGCCGTTTCCTGCTGGGCCCGAAGGAAGTCCAGGGAGGGTTCGGGGGCTGAGGGCACGGGCTGAGGCAGCGGAGGGGGTGGAGGGCTGGGGGCCGAGGGTGGCGCCTGGACCTGCTGTGGAGGCTGAGGTGGTGGCGGTGGAGGGGCTGGGGGCGGTGGCGACAAGGCCAGGCGGGGCAGCTGGACCGTCTTCTGGAGGGCTGGAGGGGGTGGGGACTCACGCTCCTTGGAGGGCGGGCAGCCCCCTTCCTGGGCCTTGCAGGCGGTCCGGGCCCAGGGCTCTGGGCTGCTGGAGCCCCCCTTGCTGTGGGCCGGGTTATCTGTGGAGACAGAGACGAGTCGGATACCGCAACCGGCCCAGCAACGTTCTCGTGTGTCCTTCCGCCTGCTACCCACCTGGGCTCGGACCCGCCCCGACGAACCAAAGACCAACCGTGCTTCCGACAGGCCAGTCTTTGTGCCTGGGAGGAAGCAAAATCCCAGCGGCCCTCACCAGCCCGAGGGGAGCCAGGATCCCGGGGCCCGCAGCTGATCCAGGCGGCCCGTCTTGTTCAGACTTCAGAGCCAACCTTCTGGAAGGCTCAGAACCACACTGCCAGTGTCCACCCCCCCTTGCTCAACCTCACTGCTGGGTCCTGGGGCTCCTGGGGGCCGGGAAAGAGGCGGGGCGGCCCCACAGTGAGGAGCCCGGGGCAGGAGCTCTCGCCAACCAGGCTGGCAGACTTCCCATGTCTGCTCTGCCTCTCCCCGGCTCCCCTGACCTGGGCCCTCCTTGTATTTGAGAACTTGAACGCTCTGCACGCAGCCGGCCTTCAGCGCATCCCCTCAATCTTCTGGTATACCTCAGACTCACCAGGGCTGAGAAGCTGGTCCTCCCCACCTGCTCCCCTTTTCTTCCCATCACTAGGCCTCAAACTTCCACTCTTTTTCTCTCTCCCACACCATCAGCTCAGAATTAATCCAGCTTCTCCTGGTCATCTCCTCAGCCCCGCTCTGGTTCAGCCACCAGCACCTCCCACCTGGGCTGTGGCAGGTGAGCTCGGCAGCCCGTTGCCCCCAGGGCCTCAGGGGTCCAACTAAATCATCCCTCAGTATGCTGGGGCCACAGCCCCCGTGCTGTTTCTACAAAACGTCGCGTAGGGACACGTGCAGACACACAAAGTAGATTAGTGGCTGCCGCAGGCTGGGCGGAGCGGCCCTCGGGGAGGGGGTGCGGGCCTTCACTGAATGGCGTGACGGCTGCGAGACTGCACGAGGCCCGAAAGGCACGGGCCAAGCGGTGTGGCAACGTTTTCGCTCACCGCGATGTTTGAGAAAATTTGAGTCAAACATGGGCTTCCTCTGCTCAGTATCTGCCAGTGGCTTCCACTTCATTCAGAGGCAAGGAAAGTCTGAGGGCCCTAAGGCTCTCCGCCATCTCCCCTCCATTGCTCCCGACCATCCCCTCTCCCGCTTCTCCTTTTTCTTTCTCCTCTTCTCTTTTCACGTTTTTCTCTCTCACCCCTTCACCTGGCTCCAGCCAGAGCCTTTTCTTCCTCCTCAACACACTAGGCCTGGTCCTGCCTCAGGGCCTCTGCACTTGCTCCCTCCACATCTAAAAAAAACACAAACATCTTTCCTTAGGCACCTCCCTGGCTCCACCACCGTCCTCCCCCACCAGGCTCTGCTTAAACCTGGCCTTCTAGGAAAGACCTTTCTGGCCACTGTCTCCAGCGTCCTAGCTCAGCCTCCTCTCTGGTGCCCCTATTTGATGCCTTGCGTTGCCCAGGCCCTGGGAGCTCTGCTTCCTCAGACACTGTTCTCTAGGGAGGCACCTAGACCAATGTCCAGCACAAAATCGTTTCCTTTCACGAGAAAAGAACATGGCTTCCAGGGAGGTCAGTGCTGGGGGAGGAGATCCTGTGGCTCTGAGGGGTGCTTCCGGTCCCCATTCTTGCCTCGCTGTCCCTCCACCAGAATCACAGCACCCCCTGCGGCCAGGTCAACAGTTCCTTCCTCAGGAAGCCTGCTGCGAGCCCCTAAAGCCAGAACACCCTGCTCTTCTGCCCTTGAGCCCCGAGGCCAGGCCCCACCTCCCTGCGCGGCATGGCGCAGGCTGGGAGCATTGGTGAGCAGCGCTAACACTCCTTGTTAGACACTAGCCTCTCGGCCCTCCCTGGTGGTGCAACGGGTGAGGACACAGCAGCACTGCAAGCGAGCTGCAGATGCTTCAGTGCGAATTTGATCCCGACCCCGGGGGTGACCCACGTGGCGCGGCAGACCTCTCCTGCCCCACCCGCTGCTCCCCTCAGCAGTGTGCTCTGTCGATCTGCCTGTTCTGCTCTCTACTCTGTCTCTGGTGAATCCTCTCACCACCTCTGGCCTGTACCCTAATTCTGTATGCACAAATTAAAAAAGAAAAAGGACACTAGCCTCCGCCCAGATGCCCTGAGAGAAGTTCAGAGTGCTGATTCCCAGCACAACCCTTTTCCTGGCCACGCCCTGGGTGAGGGGGCTGCACTCTGCTCCCACATCTTCGCCAGCCCTTCTCTCAGGTAGGTGTCCTCACAAATGGCCCATTTTGCAGATGCCCAGGGGTGGCACAGAGCTGGGCAATGGCAGAGAAGGAGTTTGCACCGGGCAGTCTCAGCTAGAGAGGTTTCTGCACTACCCCTTGACCAGGCAGGCTCAGAGCCAAGTCCCTCGTAAGGGGGCTAGCAATGCAGCTGCCGGAGCCCCCAGCGTCATCCTCAAGGACACCTCCCGGGCCCCAGCCCTGTGGCTGACCCTCCACTACAGCGGGTCCTCTATTATCAGAGGAGAATCTCGGTGAGGTTCTACTCCAGCAGGCCTTCAGGCCAGCGCTGCCCGGGGCCTCTGCTCTGGCCACAGTTCCCTCAGCGCTGTGCTCTGGCTCCCTTTTCAGTTTTCTGCTCAAATGTCACTTCCTCGGCGACGCCCTCCCTGACAGCCCTGCCCATAGTCACTACCCTCTGAATGTCTGGTTTGTCCTTCCTAGCTTTTCTCCCTCCTCGTGTATGATCTGTTTCGGGGAGTTACTTGGTTGTCGTTTTCTCCCCCACAACTGGAATGTCGGTTGCACACGGGGACTTGTCTGTTCTGCAACTGTATTCTCAGCGCCTGCTCCTGCCTTTCTCGGCTTGGGTGCTCAGTATTAGTTGAGTCAGTGAATGACGGAAGGAAGGGGTTGCAGAGCTTCTGAAAAAGAAACTGGCGTCTCTGCAGTGGGTCAATGGGGCCGTTTCACAGCTACTAACACAGAAGTTTGATTCAGATTGAGAACACCAACCCCCAGTGACGTCTCTCTCCTGGTTAAGACACCAGCATGCCTCCCAGATGCCCTCGAGATGAAGTTCGAAGTGCTGACCTTCACTTACAAACCACGCGTGCTCTAATTCTGGCGTAGCCGTGAACTCTCAGTCGACAGTGATTGTTACCCCCAGACAACCTCTGGGCGTAGGTGTGTTAGGTGTATGGGCTGTGCGCAGGACACAGCCCGTATTCCAGTTCCAGCGTGACCTTGGGTGGCTGAACGAGCCTCCCTGGAGCCCAAGATCCTGAGCTGCCTCACCTGACCACGTCCACGTCCCTCCTTCCTCCAGCCCTCAGGTGGCTGCCGCAGCACTCCGGTGATGTTCAAACTCCTTGCCTTGAGCTAAAGGCCTGGCGTGAGCTGATCTTTGCTGACCTCTAGGACCTCATCGCGAAACACTTCCTCTCTTCAGTCTTTCCATGCTCCTTCCTCCCCTCTCCCTGCCCCAACAGGAAAACTTTTCTTAAATTCCCACACCGGCTAAGCGGTCTTTCCTCCAAGTCACTACACTACTATTCCTTCTCACTTTCCTGCTTCTTCACCCCCATCCTTTGCAGCTCAGTGCTGACATCATCTCTTCCAGGAAGCCCTCCCTGGTCTTCCAGGCTTGGACTGGGGCAGCCTCGAGACCCCTATGGCTCAGGACCACCTGCTCTGAATCATCACCGTCTGGGCTCCGGTCTATGGACTGGGAGCCCAGGAGGGCAGGACTGAGGAGGGCTCAGTCACCACTGTTTCCCCAATGCTGCCCAACAACACAGGGCAGGTGCCTGGAGAACAGGGGTGGAGGAAATCACCCAGCATCGAGGCTAAGTAGGAAGTCCTGGTACTCAGCTCTTCCTACCTCAGGGAAAGTCACCAGCCCTCCCTGTATCTGATTCCTAAGACGGTCTAACAGGCAAGTACCTCACAGCACCAGTAACCAAGTCACAGTGAGCCTAGAATTCAGAAGCTACCCACTAAGCAATTCACTCAGTTTTCACAACACCCCTCAGGTGGGGATTCTTGTTTTCTCCCCATTTCACAGAGGCAGCACCTGAACTGTAGTAAGAGACTCAAAATGACACCGCTGAGTGGCAGGCAGCGCAGAGACTGGGGCCCAGACAGGCACCTCCAGAGTCCCTGGGATGCCAGTCAGACCTCAGCCATCTGGGTTCAATTTCTGACCTAAAGACAGTCACATGCCGCAAGCTGGTGGCAAGTCACTTCCCTTTCCTGAACCTCACTTTCCCCCGGAGTCACCGTGGAAGACAGCAGCAGCCAGGAGCCTTGGAGGAGGCACTAGGAGGGCTTGGAACAGCGGCCGCGGGGCACGCAGCACTCAGACCCTTTGCTCTCGCTGGGGGAAGGGACTCACCTGCCCGACGGTCCTCCCTGCGGTCTTCCAACAACACATAGCGTTGAGCACAGGCACTTGGGGCTGGGGGCTGTGAGGAAGCGGCCGCGGGGGGCTGTTCGGCCCCTGCACCGGCTCCCGGCCCCGCCACACCCGGCCCCAGGATGGCAAAAATGGTCTCCTCCTCCGCGGAGAAGGCGTCCTCAGCTGCAGGCCCGGCGCCCTGCGTGGAGTGCGGCACGCGGGCCAGCTTCTCCTTGGTGCGGCGCTTGAAGTCGTTCCAGCGCTTCTGCACCTCCTGGCCGGTGCGTTTCCAGCTGGTGATGCCGTTGATCTTGGCAGCGATGCCGTCCCACACGCGCCGCCGCTCAGCGACGCTCACCCGACGGCTCTGCGCTCCGTAGAGCTGCGGGTAGTGGGCGCGGACCTCACGGATCAGGATCTGGTTCTCTTCGAAGGAGAAGCGCGGCTTGCGCAGGCGGGTGGTCTCTTCCGCTTCGCCCGCCGCCGCCGTGGCCATGGCGCCCCCCGACGCCACCGGCCGGCCTCCTGGGGCATGGGGGGCGCCGGCGCTGCGGGCACAGGGCGCACGGCGCTGACCGGGATCCGGAGTCCCAGCGCCGCCCGCCCTACCCCGGCCGCCCCGACACAGGCTGTGGACCCCCGAGCAGGGGTGGGGGCGAAGGGCGGACGGAGGCGACGGGCCGCTGGGGGGCCATCGGAGTGCCTATTAATAACTGACACCGGCTGAGCGCTCATCTTCGCGCGGCACAAAGTGTCACGCCGAGGAGTTGATGGAAATTGGGGGAGGGTCTCGAGAGGTTACGGGGCATGAGGAAAAGCAGGGGAAAAGGGGGTGTCTGCAGGAGTTAAAGGAGAATGGGGGCATGGGATAATGCAAAATGAGAGAACGGGGGTGTCTCGGAGGTCGATGAAAAACGGGGTAGTGAGGGTAAGGAGATGCTGAAGGGGAGATGCAGCACGGAGATCTGGAGCACAGGAGCGCTCTGGGGGGCTCCGGGGCAATGGGGAGCCCGTAAGGCTGATGTTTCAAGGGGTCCTCGGAGATGTCCAGGAATAATGGTGAGTTGGGGGCTCCTAGAGCAGTGGAGAAGCCCCGGGACTATAAAATATTAGGGGTCCAGGGTCTGCGGGGATTGTGGGAGTTCTGGGAATTGCCAGGAATTAAGGAGAGCTTTAGGGGTAGTGGGGATCCTGGTTGAGGAGGGGCAACGGAGGTTATGGGGGACTCTGGGAAGAGTGAGGGTAGCCGAGGGTGGGGACCCAGTCGGACCGCGAGTCACTCACCGGCGCCGCCGCAGCCCCCGCCTGCCCGTCGGTCAAGACTCGGGCTTCTGCGGCCTCTTCCCTCCGCCCCCCGCCTCTCTCCCCCCGGACCCGGGCCCCGCCCCCGACCGTTCTGCGACCAAAGCGCAGGCGCACCTACTCCCAGCCGGCCCCCAACGCCCTTACCACCGGGCTTTCACGCCCCTCCCACGGCGCAAGCGCAGAACCGCCCCCTAGCGGCCGCCAAGCGCGGGCCTCGGGTGCGCAGGCGCAAAGTTAGCTTCACGTCCGAGCCCCTCGCCTTTTCATGCCACCACGGCGCATGCGCGAGTCTCGGCCCCACGCTTGCGTACTCCTGGTACCCGGCTCGCGGTGGTGCCCGCGTCTCTGACCCGGCGCAGGCGTAGCAACCCTGGGAGGAGGCGGGAGAGACGCTGGAGAGTTGGAGCGAGCGGCGTTCCTCCTTGCGGACCGCCTTCTAGCCGTCCCAGCCCCCTAACTAGCCACGTGTCTTTTCTTCGGAGCCACGGGAGGGAGGCGGCCCTAGAGGGAAGCGCTTCGTTTCCTTGACAACTGCGTGGGAGGGCTGTGGGGGACGTGAGAAGCGGGTTGCCACCTCCTGACATGCCGGCCCCTGCGCAGGGCGCTCCGTCTCCGCGACCCCTGCAGGGGCGGAGCACTCTGGGGATACTCCGCACCAGGTGGGGTGCGGTAACCACGACAACCCATCAACCTTCCAGCCGGCCGGCCCCCCCCCCCCAACACACACACTTTTACGTCAAGGCGCAGGGAGAGGGAGTTTCTTGGGTAAGCAGGGTGATCCTGGCGCTAGGAAGACTTTGACGCAAATGTGTGGAGTCCGGCACGAAGAAGGGAGACTGAACTGGTGAGCGGGAAAGCGAGGGTGACTGAGTTAAGCTGGGCTGAGACATTGGTTCAGCATCCTCAAGGTCACTCAACAACCGGTGCTTCATTCCTCTATTCATCAACTATTGCCCGCCTACACATTCTCAGAGGCAGTGAATAGGAAAGACAAAAATCCATTCCCTCATGAGCTCACTGTGGGAGAATCAGACAATTAGTCAAAAAAGGCAGTAAGTGAAAAAAAGATGGGCAGGATGAAGAAACGGAAGCAGGAACAGGGATTGGGGAAGATGGCCATTGCGTGTGCTTGTAGTTTTAAATGAAGGTGGCTCTAGGAGGCTCCCTGAGGTGAGGCTTGGGGGGGGATTGGGGGGGCAGGGGTTGAGGGAGGAAGTGCAGCCAGAGCTGGTGAGTGGGCTGGAGTGGAGGGAGCCACATCCCAGTAAGGACTAGCGCTTTTACACGAGGTGACTGCCCTGGGGTGTCCTGGGCAGAGGAAGGTTTGATTCAACTCTGGTTTTAATAAATTCCTTTAAGGGGGCTCCCTGGTGGCCTAGGGGTTAAGTCTCAGTGCCATCACACTTTGGCTTGAGTTTAATCCCTGCCCAACCCCAAGGAGCTGACCCACAGGGCAGGGCAGACCTCCTGTCTCCCGGCTGCTTCCCTCAGCAGTGTATCTCAGTGTATCTGCCTGTTCTGCTCCCCACTGTCTCTGGTGAATCCTTTCACCCCCTTACCTCTGGCCCACACTCCAGTTCTACACAAAGTTTAAATTGAAAAAAAAAATTACTTTAGGTTGAGAGGAGGTGGGGGCACCAGTGGGGTGGTAGCTCTCAGGTCAGGGTGCAGGAGTGGGAGTCCATCAAGGAACCTTTTTCTTTTTTAAAGATTGATTTATATTTATGCATACAAGAAGTGAGGTGCAGGCCAGAGGTGCAAGGGCAGTGAGAGGATTCACCAGGGACAGTGGGGACAGAGCAGGCAGATCACTGAGATACACTACTGAGGGGAGCAGTGGGGAGACAGGAGAGGTCTGGGGCACCCTGTGGGTCACTCCCTGGTTGGTGAAGGAACTTGTGCAGCAGTGGCTGTGGATAGCCTCACCGTGATGCATTTAACCAGTTGTGCCACCAGGGAGGGCCAAAGAAGCTTTACTAAGGCTTTTTTTTTTTCCAACTTCGAGGCTTCACCCACTTGAGTGCCTCAAATATTTACTACAACAAGCATTCAGCAAATAACAGAATAGGGAAGTACGGGAAGCACAAGTGGAAAGGTAAGTTATCACCTGCAGGAATTTTGGTTTCAGTTCCAGAAGCTCAGAGATGGTGGAGACACACCTCGGGGTAGTAGACATTGCTCAGCCCAGGACCCAGCCTGCCGGGCCCTTCCTGAGGGCAACCTGAGCACCTATTCTGAGCCCAGAAGCAGCGCTGGGACCTGCATCCTCTCCGTCCACTCCGCGACCTGGGCTCTAGGCTCCTGGGGCGAGACCAGAGGAGATGAAGGAGGCTCTGGCATAGGAGAGCTTCTGCGGCGGCCTCACAGCACCCACGCCTGCAGGGCTCAGTCACCCCCTCTGCCCGAGCTCCCTGTCCCCAAGCTTCTCTGGGGCCTTGGACCTGAGACCCAGCTCCTCTCACCCGGACCACAGGGACCTCCCTCCCAACCCCACTGTCTTCCTTCTCTCTGCCTCTGCTCTCTTTGCAGTCACCTGCTTTTGAGGCAACGCTGGTTTCTAGCATATTCGCAGTGCCAGATGTAAAGCACTGTGATCTTAAGATGTATTTTTTCATTTATGCATACAAGAACTGGGTGTATGCCAGAGGGGCGGGGTGAGAGGCTTCACTAGTGAAGAGTGGGAGCAGAACGGGGGTATAAACTTAAATCCGCTGCTGAGGGGAACAGCAGGAGAGACAGGAGAGAGGTGTGCTCCGCCATGTGGGTCATCTCCCTGGCCAGGGACATTAACCCCTGCACCACCAGGGAGGCCCAGCATTGTAATGTGAAGTCAGGGACTCTACGTGGCCATCACTTCCAGTCTCTTTCCATCTATCGCCACACTCTCTCCTCAGATTCCAGTCATGTTGGATTATGGGCTACCCCACCCCACTATGGCTTCCCCTTAAGTGGTTACATCACCAAAGACTCTACTTCCAAATAAGACCACATCCTGATGCTCTGGAGGGTAGAAATTCGAATATATTTTCATTTTGGGGTGGGGGACACAGTGCAACCCCAAACTCCTAGCAAGCCTTTTTCATTCCCTCTCTCCTAACTGGCCCCAGCCCCAACCAGGACCTGGACTAGGGAACTGGGTCTCAACACGTCTCCCCTCCCCTGCACACCGGGGACGCTGCCAGGATGCTGTGACTTCAGGGAGTCTGGGCTCAGTGTGATCTGCGCTCAGGAGGGGCGCAGGTGTGTGGAGCCCCAGGTGCGACGCGAGGGCCCAGGAAGACAAGCTCAGGTCCACTGTCTCCTGGGCGCCTTCAGTGTCCCCGCACATGCGTAACCCCAAGGACGACTACACCACCTCTCACTGCTGCTCCCATGTCAGTGCTTTAGTAAACCATGGCTCTGTCCTCCCTGAGGGCCTCCCTGGCTGCCCAGTGGGTTAAAGTGCAGCACTGAGAAGCTATTGGCAGGGAGGGACCCACAGGACACAGCAGACCTCTCCCGTCTCCCCGCGGCGCCCCTCAGCAGTTGATTTCAGTACACTATTTCATACAGACCCAAGGTCCTATATGCATAAATAAATCTTTTAAAAATTAAAAAAGAAATACAAAGGAAAAGAAAAAAGGCCTCATTTGAGAAGCTATCCGCTTCCTGCTTAAGGAAGCTCCCGGCAGCACCCCTTCCTCCAGGCCCTCGCCAGGCTCACCCACCTCACAGCTACACCCCAGGCTGGGGTCAGGCCTCCTGTTTCTGCCCCTGTTGTTGGGTTTTCACTTGGTGGTTTCTGGGGCAGAACAGAGCTGGTCCTCGGCTCTGCACACCCCTCGTCTCCCACCTCCACCCCACCCGAGGGTGGAAAGTCCAAGCTCCTGCTCTGGCTTTTACAACCCTCTCCCCAGTCGCCAAGTCTCTGCCCCGTGGATGTGCTTCTTCAGGTGGTGACGATTCACAAGAGGGAACCCTCTGTCTGGAGCCCACCAGCATGAGCACAAGGTAGAAAAGACTAGAGTGGGGTCCTGGAGGAGGAGATACCCAGGGAGAACAGCAGACAGCGTGGCACCCACCTTCTGGAAAAGGACTGTGAGCAGCAGTCCCTGGGGGCCTTGGCTGTTCTGTACTCGTAGGTGTCCAGCAGGTGTCCAGGTGTCGATTTGAGTCTGAGAAAGCATCGCAGGGGGGTTAAGTTCTCACGGAGGTCTGCAGGATTCAGATGCCAAGTCTCTGGCCCCCTTGGGGTGCAGGAGGTGAAAGGAGTCACCAGAGACCGTGGGGAGCAGTACAGACAGATCCACCGAAATACACTGCAGACAGGAGCGGCGAGCAGTGGGTAGAGCGAGCCCTGAGACTAACCCCCACCCACCAGGGAGGCCTTGGTCTTACCTCCTACTTGGCTGCGGCCTCCCCCTATGCGGCCAGGGCCTCCCGCTATGCGGCCAGCTCCTCCTCGGGAGCCAGCCAGCCAGCGGGGGGAGGCTGGCTGCTCAGGGGAGTACCCTCCCCTCCCCTGCGACCTCACTTTCCTCAGCTGGGAGGGGGATGTTCATATTAATGCGGCAATAGAACAGGCAGCCCTGATGTTATAGGCAACATTTCAGGTACAAATGTGTCTCCCTGGGGCAGAGACCTTCCTTTCCACCACCTGTCTGAGCAGGATCTGGGAGCCCAAAGAACTCCCACAAAGTTGCTGTTCTGCTGTGGGGGTGGGGGGTCTCTTGGACAAGGAAGGGCCAGAAAGGGAATCTGGGGTCAAGGTGGAGGCTGGAGGACCCTTGGGGAATCAGTTCACCGTGACCAGGCGGGGTGATGTCTGGAGGGGCCCACTGCTGTGCTTCCAGCTCCAAGGGCGGGGGTGGCTGATGAGGTCCCTGGGGGGGGGCGCAGCCTCCTGGGCGGGGCCAGGTGGTAAGACAGAGACATTTTGGGTGATTTCAAAGATAACCAGAAACGCTCTTTATTCAGTAGAGCCCCAACCCCCTTGGGGCCCTTTAGTCTGGAGTCAAAACCCAAACAACTTAAAATCCGACTGGGCCGCTTCTTTGCCGCTAAAGTAAAATCTAGGCGGTTGCCGTTTCTATCCGGGCACTAAAGCCGCTTTCCTTTCTGCGCTTCCTTCGTGTAACCGCTGGAAGATACAAAATACAAAGGAGGAAAATAACAACCTTGAGCAAACGTTTGTGACTTGGGGGCGCTGGGTGGGAGGAGGTGCGTTGAAGCCCTCTAGCAGGAAAGGATCCTCCGTGATTTGGGGGGTGGGGTGCGAAGGGGCGCAGGGAGCCGGGTGTACAAGGGGAAAGACCACTGGAGCGAGATGAAGGGGTCTGCTCACCCCAGGCTCTCCACCCGAGACAAGCCTGCCTGCGAAGACTGCGCGCCCCTCCCTTCCCGCGCGCCTCTCCCTCCGCCAACTCCAGGCGGGTGGGAGGATCCGGCTGGTCCAAGTGGACACGCAGATCTGGGTGTGCGGGCACCGACCATGGAGAACCGGCCTCAGCGTGCAGCCCGGTGTCCGGATGGTCTCCGCCATGCGCCGACTCAGCCAGCTCACTGTCGCGAAATCCTCGGCGTGGGCCCGGGACAGCCCGTGGGGTGCGTGGGTCCACGGACTCTTCGATTCCACAAAGAATGGACACACCCCCAAGGGCGCTTGGGTGTCAGAGGGGGCCCAGAAGGACCAGTGACCCCAGGCTGGGCGGCCCAAGGGGGTGGCGGTCCAGCTGCACCAAGAATCCGGACACCCCCAGGACAGAGCCCCAAGGGTGGAGAAGTCGCGGAGGCAGGGTGTTCTGGCTCCCCAGCAGCGTCCACAGTCAGGGTCCAGCCTTGATGGAGTTCTGGCTGCTGGTGAGCTGGGGGGGAAGAGTCCAGGAACTTGGTGGGGACTGAGGCAGGAGGGTTTGGGGTGCGTATGGGGTGGCACCCCCAGCTTCAGCGCTTGACCTTGCGGCCAGCCGAGTTTCGCCCACTGCGGCGGTAGAGGGACTGCTGGCCACCGTTCAGGGGGCAGTACTTGAGCGTGTGGGCCTGACCCCCGGTGGCCCCGCACAGGGGACACACGTAGTGCCGCAGGATGGGACACGTCACCACGCCCTCCGGGGTCTTCAGCCGGTGCGAGGCGTAGACGTGACGAGACTCCCCGTTGTGCTTGCAGAAGTTGCACAGGGCACCGAGGCTCCCGCTGTCCCCAGGCTCTGCTGGCCCCGAAACCTGGCCCGGCGGCGGGGTCCCAGGCTTGGGCTCCCCCGCCTCCAGGGCCTCCAGCCTTTGCCCCCAGCTCCGGCTCAGTGCCAGCACCACCTGGTTCAGGTTGAAGTAGTCCTTCCACATGTCGAAGGGCGGAAGCTGCATGGCCCGCAGGGGTGGGTGGTGGGTGGCTAGTCAGGAGCCAGAGCCGGGGGCTGCTGGGTGCAGGCAGCAGGTTGTTTTCTGGAGCAGAGAGGAACTGCACCCCCCACCCCCTTTTATACTCCCCAAAGACCCTTTTAAACAAAGGTGGAGCTTAGAATTTAAAGGGCCCACTCCCTCGCGGAGACTCCCATCTGCCTATAATGCCCTGTGGGGATCTGGAAGCTTCCTTCTCTGTGCTCCTGGTCCCGCTCTGTCCAAGGAGCTCCATGACCTCCAGCGAAAGGCCTGTCCCCCTCCCTGAGCCTCGGTTTCCCTGTCTGGTATAGTCCCATGTCTACAGTATCCCCACCCCCACCCTCCTTGCACCAAACCTGGGGGCCTGCGACCTCCATGACCTGCCATCTCCTGCAGAGCGCTTCCTAATGATAATGACCCCCCAAAGCCAGATGCTCTGCAGCACCACTACTTCCATTTACTTCTCACAACAAAACCCCCGGGACAACCATGCTTCCCACTATAAAGCCAAGTTAACCAGTGTTCAGAGAGGGAAACGCATTGGCCCAAAGTCACACAGCATGCAAATGGGACAGCTAGAATTCTAAGCCAGGTTTCCAGGACTCCCGAATAAGTGCTCCCTCTACCCCTTCTCATAAAGACCCGTTTTTTATCATGTCCTGCACTAAGCCCTTTATCCAGCACGTAGTTAGTATGTGCAGACTACCACATACAAAGCTGCCAGAACATGCTCTTTCACCTTCATGATCCCGGCAGGAGATCATGAAGGGTTTGAGGCTCAGAGAGGTTGAGATACATATCAAGGTCACAGAGCAGAGAAATGGCACTGCTGAACTGACACCCAGGACTGGCTCCAGTGACTGAGGGGCAAGCTTGGGGTGGCACAGTTCACTTAAGGTGCCTACCCCTGGCCGCTTGCATCCTCCCAAACCATCCCTCATCTCCATGACCAAGCAGACACCCGCCTCCTGCTCACACCACCTCCGGGAAGTCTTCCTCCACCATTGTTCTTCTCAAACACTCAACACACAGTCATCGAGACCCCTTGTGTTGGGCCCTGGAAACTCAACAGGAACCGCGACTTCTGTGTGTCTGTTTGGTGAGTAACTGATTTAGGGGGAGAATGGCCAGCAAATGAAAGCACAGTGAGTCCTTAGAGCCAGTTACCTAAAGGACACACCGAGAGAGGTTGGGCTGGGGCAGGTGACCTGGAAGCCGAGACCACAGAGCAGAATCTTCCAGGAAGAGGAAGACCAGATGCAGAAGACTTTAAGTCTGCAGAGGGCAGGGGGCCTGGGGTGATGAGAACAGAGGGAGAGGCCCAAGATGAGTGGGTTGCAGGGACTGGATACCATCAGACTGTGACTCTCTTCCCCTTGGGGTGTTTTGGCAATGGAGGGGGCCTTTGAGGTTTGCTACAGTGATTGGAGGTGTGACTGGACTAGAGACTGGGACCTGGATGCCAGGTATCCACAGTCCACACCACCAGGCTCCAGCTGGCTCCCTACTTAACTTTCCCACACCCCACTGGCCTGCCCACTACTTAACTTTCCTGCGCCCTACTGTAGATAGGAAAGCCCATACTGAGCCCAGATCCTTGGTGTGTTTTACATCTAAATGGGATTTGCTTCCCCCATATTTAAAGATACTCTGACTTTTCCTGGGACGCCATGCCGTGTCCATCACAGTCTGCCTGTCCTAGGTTGACTGTTTCTAGAAGCCACCTCACCCCAGGCAGTGCTGACCGCAGGGACTGTCCAGTCAACACTCTGTTGGCTCCTGTCTCCTTCAGGTCAGTCTAGTGTCTGCTGGGTGAGCTGTGTTGAGCTGTGTCTGAGACCATCTACACGGAAGCAAGTGATTGTTTCATGATATATTGTTGTCTTGTCTTTCTCCTCTGTCCTTCAGTGAGGACACAGTATTGATTTTTGAAAATAAAAGCTGTGTGATGGTGGGCTAGATTTCCTGTGTGTTTAACATCAGACTACTCGGCATTTCAAACGGTTACATAAAGTGGGTGTTGGATCTCATGGGGTTAAGGAGTAGTGATGCAAGCCAAGCTCAGCCCAATGGCCAAGGTGTCTCCTCCTCCAGGAAGCCCTCCAGAGCCCCAGGCTGGGTCAGCCAGCTCCTCTGGGTGACAGCCCAGCCCAGCCCAGCCCATTCTAGTGCTGACTGGAGACTGGTCTGTTTCTTCCCTCAACGCCGAGCCCCAAGGGCAGAGCTGTACTAACAGTGTCCCCAAACCTTTAATGGATCCCCTAGCCTTTATCCCTCATCCATTCTCTGAGTCAAGTAACATTGTCATTGCTGATTCACCATGGCAGCAACTATTCAGAGAGTTTCGGTCACTTTCATGCTCACACTGGCGGCAGGCAGCAGACTGGTCTCCAGCCTGGGGCTGCTGTGCCCAGCGGCTCTGCCCTGCACCCCGCCCTCAGTGGCCCAGTACATGCTCATCAGTGGGATGAACAAATCAACCAATACCTGTAAGGGCTACAGGGGCCCTCCCTGGAGGTGCAGGGGGTGAAGTCTCAGCACTGTGAAGCTATCACCAGTCACTGCAGCATGGGTCGATCCCCCCCAGGGAGTGACCCACAAGGCGCAGCAGACCTCTCCTGTCTCCCAGCTGCTCCCCTCAGCAGTGTGTTTCAGTCAGTCTGCCTGTTCTGCTCCCCACTCTGTCTCTGGTGACTCCTCTCTGGTGAATCCCTGCACCTCTGGCCTGTACCCCAGTTCTGCATAAATAAATAATTTTTAAAACAGGACTTCAAGGGTCTTACGGGGTGCCTGGACCCCCCATATTTTAAGAGGCGACAACATCGTGGCGTTCAGTGACCAGACACTGGTTCAGTGCTCAGCGGCGACATGCTTAGCAGTCTGCTGGGCAGTCGCCGACATGCTGCTCAGCGTCTCCAAGCCTTGGTTTCCCCACCCGTCAAGTGGGCACGCGGCCAGCACACTCGCCCAGCGCAGGTGCTCTGACTGTGCTTGTAACCAGCCCTGAACCTGGCATGGGATGCTTCACTACATGTTAATGAGAAAGAATCCAAAAAATTGAATCATAGTTAAGATCTAATAAATTCAGTTAGCTTAAGGACACTCACTGAACACCTCCTCTTGGCCCTGGCTGGGCTCCCCAGTCACGAGCTCGGACATGCCACGCTCTGCCGGTGCCATCTCTAAATCCTGCCAGCCCCTGTAGGGCCTGTTCATGGGCTCCTTTTGCAGATGAGGAGTGGGAGACTCAGGTCGGGGCCCTTGTCGCAGCTGTGTGGGCACTAAGTGGTCCGCTGGAGCTCAAACCCTGGGCACAGGACACCCACCGCTTCCCTCTAAGAGCAGGGTCAGCAGAAACCAGGGCTGCGTGGAGGGACTCGCCAGAAGGAGGGAAACTAGGAGGGACGCATGCTGAGCCACACAGGTATCGCAGGGCAGAACAAGTCTCCTGGAAGCAGGAGCCAGGTGGGCTTGGAGGTCACTGGCCATGTGCTTCCCACAAAGCCACGGCTGGTGCCTTGGGTGAGGAGTGTGGCCCCAATGGGCAAGACTGGGCCTGGGCCTGGTGGCTATGGCCGGGGCATCTGGTGGGTGTCTGAAGAGCTGAGGAGAGGCGGGGTCACAGGTCCTGGGGTCACAGGGTCCTGGGATCCCAGGGTCCCTTTACCATCCCACCCACAGCAGCAGGCTGGACTGTTGCTGTGTCTGTTACTTTTCTTGACTGCTTTTTCCCTAGATGTTTTCTTCTAAGACTCCCTTTGGGGACCAGGGCACCTCTCCACCACCCCCACAGACACCCTGGTGTTTTATTGGGTGACTCACTGAAGGCCTGAGATCAGCCAGCACCCCCTCCCTTTGGGTCGCTGCTGTGGAAGGAGGGAAAGTCAGAGCTGATATTGATGAGAAATTCACCGTCTGGGTGTTTACTAGACAGAGAGCCCCAGGCTGGCCTCAGCCTCTGCCGGCAGCCCCGTAGATGCCCTGTTTACTTGTGAGTTTCCCTCTCAGACTGGGGCCTGACAGAAAACAGCTCAAGAGAGGTGGGGGGCAGTCCTCAGAGGAGTGGGGGGGAGGGCTGTCTGGAGGAGAGACCCCTAGAGGCAGCAGGGACTGGGGGAGGCACGTGTAGAGAACCCTCCCCCCCCCCCACCACACACAGGGAAGGTGAATACCAGGGGAGAGAGCTGTACCTCCTTCCCACCTCCCAGGACCAGCAAGGTTGGGGTCTACTCAGTCCTCTCATTTCTGTGCTGACTACTGGCCTGTAGCATCTCATCAAACACTCAGGGCGGCCCTGATGCCAATGTGAGAGTCACAGAGACAGCCTGGGGCGGGGTGTGGCAGCTGCAGCCAGAGGAGTCAGAGGCCTGAGCCCACAGCTTCCAGCTGTGTGGCCTTGGGCAAGCAGTGTCACCTCTCTGGCTTTGTTTTCTGTTCGGAAGGGAGGTCACTGGTGACCCCCTGTGGTGGGGCTGTTTTGAGGGTGAAGCCAACGGCCAGTCATTAGGGCAGCTCCAGAGTGGGCTGAGCACCCCTCTCCCAGTGTTTTCAGGCTTATTTCTTCATGAAGAATGGGAGGCAGAGAGAAGGAGGCTGCAGTACACACACGTGAGAGGAGAAAGGATTTTCGCCCACTGAACACATGCTGCTGTGTCGGACTGAAGTCAGGGTGAGCAGAAAAAACCCTGGTGTCCCAGAATGGGAATTTTGGTGATAGAAAATTACACAAAGAAATACAGTATGTCAGGGGCCTCCCTGTGGTGCAGGGGTTAAGGCTCAGCATTGTGAAGCTATAGCCAGCCACTACAGGGTGAGTTCGATCCCCGGCCAGGGAGTGACCCACAGGGTGCAGAGACCTCTCCTGTCTCCCTGCTGCTCCCCTCAGCAGTGGATTTCAGTGTACCTGCCTGTTCTGCTCCCCACTCTGACCCTCTGCACCTCTGGCCTACCTCCCAGCTCTTATATGTATAAATAATAAATCTTTT